GGCTTTCTCTCTCTGCAGCCTCCCCGTCCTCCCTGCCCTCGCTCTGCAGGCTGGCTCAGCTGTTCCACCGCATCTGGGGGGCTCTGCTTTCTCCTCTCCACCAGCCCCCCATCTTCGACTGAGTGGTCTTCTCTGTGGCCTCCGCCCTCCACCGCCTGCATCAGAGCTGCCTGTCCATGGCCCCTTCCCTGCTGCTGGCGGGGCCCTGGGTGGGGAGGCAGCTCATTCTCGCTGCGTGGAGGGATCGGGAGGGAAAGGGAGACCTCAGCACCCCACTTTGGTTGGCATCAGCAGGTCACGCAGAGACAAGGCTGGGCCAGAGGGCACAAGTCCTGCAGCTCGGTACCCCCCGTGCCCAGGGGCCCCTCGTGGTTTGGGAACGCAGTGCGCCCATGGGACATTCCACCCCCAGGTCGGGGTATTGATGAAGCTGAAGTTCAGAAAAGCCCCTTGGAAAACTGCCCCAGGGAGGCCTGTCCCTGGGCCGAGCAGGACCGAGAGGGCATCTCTCCCTCCCCTGCTCCTCCCTGTGCCCCGGTCTGGTGGCCTCTGAGCACTCTTCCTGTGGTCCCGCCTTGGGCCGGCACCTGCTGCAGCCCCAGTCTATTCAGACCAGGGCCCGGCTCTCAGAGCCACCCCCGGGACTGCTGAGTTTCAGTGCGTCCGCTCTGCTCCTCCCAGCAGGGAACGTGGCCCTGCCGGGCGCTCCTGGGCTCCAGCGCACTTTTCCAGGTTGTGCGGCTGAGCCCTGCTCTGTTCCCTGGTGTCGCTGCCCCCTCTGCACCCCCACCCCGCACCGCAGGGGAGCCCTGCCCTTTGTCCAGTGGCCCTTTCTCTGGGTTCTGCCTGCACCTGGTGGGAACCGTGGCTGGTTCCCCCTCTCCGTGTCCCGCTCTAATTAGAATCTATTGCTTGTATAACGCACACATTTTTTCTGCGTGTGTGGCCTGGAAAAGTGGGCCAGCCTTAGAGGCTGACGAGTCAAAAACGGAACTGGGTGATCGGGAGCCGGAGGGACAAGCAGAGGGCAGGCAGGCTTTGGAAGACAGTGCTGTAACCGGCCGAGGGCATCCTCCACGTTTCTGTGCAGGTTTCTGCACAGGTAAAGGTAACACACCTGTTGCCCCAGGTCAGGGGCCAGCCTTCCGGGCTGAAGGCCCCCCCGTCCTTCCGCCCTTGGACCTCTGTCTGCTGAAGCTGAGAACAAAGTGGGTGCCTTTATTTAGCCTTCCATGGGCTGGTTTTCAAAAGTCATCAGCGTCTCCTAGGTCAGCGGGTGGAGTAAGTCAGCTCCTTGAGGTTAAGCCCCCAAGCTGTGCTCTAACTGGGAAACCAGTCCCCAGCGCTCCTAAATATCACAGCCCGGGGGAGCGGAAGGGGGGCAGAGCAGCATTCCGGTCTCCTTCAGAAGGACTTGTAAAGTGGAAATCCGGTCCTGCTCACGGCCGGGACCCAGTCCTGTGAGGCTTCCCAGGCACTGGGGCTGGCTCACACGCTGCCTCCCGCCATGCAGGCCTCTGTCCTTACACATGTGCCCCCAGTACACCTCTGCTGTCCCCTCGGGAGTGTCCACCCCACTTCCTGCCTGGTGAGCCCCGCAGCCTTCCGGACCACATGAGGTTACCCCTGGGAATCCCTTCTCCACGTCGCCTGCTTCCAGCCCGTTTCATATCCTCTCTGCCGTAGTGACCCCATGGCCTCGTGGTTGTAAAGTTTCTGTCCCTCCGGGACCTGTGAGCTCTTTGTCGCTGGGAGGCACGGCCTGCTGCTGTGTTTGAGCTCAGCTTTGGGCCCTGCTCCACCGCCAGCCACTTGTGTGGCTGCTGGGATGAGGTTGGACCTCTCTCAGCCTCCGTGTCCGCCCAGGGGAGGAGGCGTCAAACCTGCTGTCCTGACCTGAGCAGGAGCCCTTGGGAGGGGCTGTGTTCCTGTTGCCCGGCTGCATGCCAGGGAGGGAGGTGTCCAGAGGTGTTTATGGGAATGAGTCCCTGCGGCTGATAAGACAAGGGGTGTGGGGCTTGTGTCGTGAGAGCCCTGAGTGTAAAGCATCGCTGCTGTGCCCGCAGAACCTCCCGGTTCTCCGGTTCTCTGGTGTCTGTCCTGAACACCGCCCCCCTGCCTTCTCGGCCAGACAAGGGGCCCAGACCAGGACTTCCCTGGGATTCTGACTTTTCTCAGGATGCAGGCTTGCCCTCCTGTCCACCTTCAGCTCTGGGTGTAACGAGGTCAGGGCACCCGGCACCTGTGCTGCCAGGTGGTAGCTGGGGCCACAGGTGGTTCTTGAGCCCCCGAAATGTGGCTGGACCAGAGTGAGATGTGGCTCTTCACACATATGGTACACGTGGGCTTTCATGGACTTAGAGCCAAAGAAAAGGGAAGCTCACTTTTTATACTGATTGCTTGTTGAAATGATGTTTTGGACATAATTGGATTAAAAAGTCTATGATTAAAATTATTTTAATCTGTTTCTTTTACTTTTTTGTGGGGCTACTAGAATGTTTGGAATTACACACGGCTCACCTTGTATTTTCTCAGATGGTGCTGTGGGGCACACCCAGCGCGAAGCAGACCCCGAGGGGGTGGGAGTGAGGAGAGTGGCAGCGTGGGGTGGAGGTGGGTGGGATGAGGGGTCCGGGACAAGGGGCTGGTGCAGCCCCTTCTGTGTAAGGTGAAGCCGAGGCCCAGGGAGGTGACTGACTCGCCCCAAGTCGCACAGGCTGGACAGGACCGTGGGTGCGTGCCCCTCTAGCCCCGTGCTCCCTGCCCTGCCCGTGGCTCTGCCGCACTCGCCCTAGAATCCGTGCTCTCTGGCGGAGGCTCACTGTTAGTGTGCTGGTGTACCTGGGCTGGGAGGACTGTCGCTGGAGTCGATCAGTTCTACTTGGTTCTGAGGGTACAACATGGAGCAGATGTTTAAAATTTAGGGGTGCTGAGGAGTGCTGGAATGGGCAGTGCTCTTCTGTGGGGTGGTGGGAGGCTGGGGCGGATGGCCCGAGGTGGCCGGGGTGGGAAATTAGGCTGCAGTGGGCAGTGATGGGGGGAGCAGGAGGCAGTAGGAGGACCCCCAACTTCTGCTTGTAGGGAGGAGAAGGGATTGGAGTCACTCACAGCTTTGTGCAGGTGACCCCCATTTTTCTGCATGTGTTTGTAGACTGTTTAAAAATAGACTTGAGTTACATGTATGGTAGGAATTCAGAAGTTACCAAAGGGTATTCACGGAAAGAATCCCCCCCACACACCCGTTTCTGGCCCTGAGGCCACCGCTGTGGCCAGTCTGTTTACCCTTCCAGAGTAATCTCCCCTCTTGCCTGTTTCCTTCTTTTGCACACACCACACACACTGTAACACCTAAAAAATAATCTGGGGTAACCTGCACCTTATCAGGTCCTGTGCAGCTGCCCCGTTCCTTTGACCCACAAGGCTCCATTGTGTGATGGGCCACAGTGGGTGGGCCGATGCCCATCCCTGTTCACCACGTTGGAACCTCTCTGCCCGCTCCGAAACTCAGAGGCTCAGCCACCCCGAGTGACAGGTGACAGGTGACGGCTATGCATTTCCTGCCACTTCCTGGCAAGCAGAGCAGCCTGCCTGGTCGTCACAGTGGGGAGGGGAGAGCAGGCCTCCCATGCTCTGCAGGTCCGTGTTTTCCAAACTGGGAATGCATTCGCACTGAAGTAACCCTTGCCACCCGGTTAAATCTGCCAGAGGAAGCGGCCACAAGAGGACGGCGGCCAGGAACGCAGGCAGGGCGCCTCGCCACCACCTCGCCACCGTTCCTGTCTTGCAAGGGAAGCTCTGGGCTGCAGGGCTCCCAGCGCTGGCGCCCACAGGAGGGGCTGCTGCCACCGTGGCCCTTCCACTCGGGCTTCCTGCAGGCCAGCCACGGCCTTGCTTGTCACCCTCTGTGGAACTTAGTGTGCAGAGTGTTTGAGAGGGGAAGGGTGGCCTCCCTTTCCCCCCTGTGCAGACCTCGGTCCCTTGGACCAGGAAGAAGCTGAACCGAAGGCAGTGGCCTGGCACCTCCCGCAGTCTGCCAAGCCGTCTGGGTGCTGCCCCTCCGGGGTGGGGTCGTGCCGGCCTCTTGATAAAACAAGTGCTTCTTGTCTTAAAGCAACACACACATGTTTTAGAAAATATTTTAAATTGCATAAACGTGCCCTGGTGGGTGTGGCTCAGCGGACTGAGCGTGGGCCTGTGAACCAAAAGGTCGCTGGTTGAATTCCCAGTCAGGGCACATGCCTGGGTTGTGGGCCAGGTCCCCGGTATGGGGTGCGTGAGAGGCGATCACAAACTGATGTTTCTCTCCCTTCCCCTCTCTAAAAATAAATAAATAAAATATATTTTAAAAAATCCAGATTTGGAAACAATGGTGCAGGGTTGATGCACCCCGATAGGGCGGTGGGAACGGGAGCGGCTCAAGTACTGAGCAACTGCTTTATCTGTACGTTACATCCCCGAACTCGCCGATGGCCGGGTGGACCTGGATGTGGGAGAAGCAGGCATCCGCAGCACAGGTGCGAGGCCCGCTGCTCACGCCTCCCTAGCGCAGTGGCACTGGAGCTGGGCGCAGCCTGCCCGCCGCGGCGGAGCCCTGCGGCCATCCCCGCCCCCACAACGCCGCCTGCGCCCCCCGCCCGGTCCTCGCCCGGGTCCAGGGTCCAGGGCGAGGGCAGCCAACTCAGCCCCAGCCAGGTGCTTCTGGCGCCCGGCCTGCCCTTCCAGGGGCGACCAGCGCTGGCAGCAGGACGAGACTGGGAGTTTGCGAGGCGATGAACACTTGGTCTGTGGCGGCATTCCGCACGCATTTTTTCCCCATGCAGCTGGGTCCTCGAGGCCTGTCCCCCCGCGCGGAGCCGCTCTCGGGAAACAGCCTGTGGTGCGGCCGCGCGCGCAGGACCCGAGGGCCGAGCTGCAGAGAGCGGCCGGCAGGGGCGGGGCCACGCGGGGTGGGGCGGGGCCGGCGGGTCATAGTGGCCCCGCCCTCCCCGGGCACTGTGATGCCCAAGAGCAGCTGCTGGCCCAGCATGTCTGTCCCCAGCCCCCTCCCGCCCAGCGTGTCACAGCGGCGGAGGCGGCTGTATCTGGAGCAGTTGGGGAGGGCAGGCCAGGCCGGCAGGCGAGCGAGCGACGAGTGCAGCCGAGATGGTGAGCCTGCCGGGGGCCCGGGCGGGTGCCTGGGCCCGGGGATGGGGGCCGGGGCAGTGGGGACTAAGGGACCCATCGCGTCGGGTCTGTAGAGTTGGCAGTCTCCGGGGGTGTCAGTCCAGGGTACAGTGGTGGGGTCTGCACCGAGGGGCGTAAGATACCTGGTGCCGATGGGGGTTTTTCACGGAGGTAAAGTACACACCTGGGGCAGGTCGCATCTAAAAGGGAATGAGAGGCGATGTGGGTGAGGTGGGGGAGGACACGGAGAGCCCGGACCAGGACGGGGTGGGGGGGGGGGTGCTCTGAGGGATCCTCAAGCTCAGGGGCCAGAGTGCGGGGATCAGAGGCAAACCAGGGGTTCAGGTGGTTGGGCCCTGGCCAGGGGGAGTGGTCCAACCAGGGCACCCAATCCAACCACATTGCCCGTGTCCTTGTCCCAGAATGTGACAGGGGACTTAGGGCGTCACTGTCGCCTGGGGCTTAGGGTAGGTCTCCCTTCCTGCCCCACCATCTGTCTGGGTCTGGGGCACTTCCAACTTGAGTGTCTCAGCGTCCGAGGCACTTGGCACCGTGCCCACTCCCCCGTTTGCCAGCGGTCAGTCAGGGGGACTTGGGCACACAGCCATCTCCCCCTGCAGGCCAGGGGACGCTGGCTGAGCAGACTGTGCAAGGCCTGGCCCCCACCAGCATTTGTCTCCTTTCACAGACATGGATCTTACTTGCTGGGGGGGAGGCCTCTCCACACCCCTAAGTCCACCCTCTAATACCCCTCCCTGCACCCCCCCAACCTGGGGTGGGTTAGTTACCTCCAATCCACTTCTGTGACCCCACGGGTGCCCAGAGTCTCCTGGTCCACAGCCCCGGTCTTTCAGTAGGAGGGAGGTGGGCTGGAAGACTTGGGTGGGGGAGGGGGCAGAAAGAGCAGTCTCACAGGCCAAGGTCAGGTTCCCTGGCTCTCTGGATTCAGGTGTCAGTGACAGGCAGGCCAGGGGAGAACCTCCCGGCCTACCCAGGCCGCTGCCTGGAGTGGAAAGAGCCCAGAGTCTTTCGGCTCTGGCCCCAGCTCCGCTGGTTTTAGCTCCAGATGTGTCCTGCACCGCCCCTCTCCCGAGCTGCTCCGGGACACACCTGGGGATTTAGGACCTCGGGACACAGGGGGATGTCTTGCGGGAAAGTGAGTGGGTAGAGGAACCCACTTCTGCCCGAGGCCTGGTGTGGGGCCATGGAAGGAGCCCAGGCCAGGAGTTCAGAGTTTTGGCTTCTGGCTCTGCAGCTGCCTGGGTGACTTCAAGAAGGTCACTCGGCCTCTCTGGACTGTTTTTCCTCACCTACGATATGGAGCAGGGTTAGCGTTCTCACGTGCAAAGCTCCACCCAGCTTTGCTTTTAAACTCCTGTCATACAGAACCTCAAGCATACACAACAGGAGGAGAGTGGTGTCGTGAAGCCCTCCCCAGGCCGCATCCAGTTCCAACTGTTATCTACGTAGATGGTTCCTGCCTCTTTTATTTCCTCCGCCCTCTCTCCCGTTACTGTGGAGCAAACCCTAGGCAACATACTCAAGTGTGTATTCAGTATTTATAACATCTAGCATTTGCTAGTGCTTTCTACTTTTCAGAGTGCTTTCTCTTGCACGTTTTGATTTTTACCTGAACGTCCTAAAGGAAGCTCACGAGGGCCCTGTGAGCACCTTCCATGTGTGTTCAATAGGCAGGTTTCTGAGGATACCTGGAAAATCAGAAATTCAAACAGCTCAAACCTTATTGAAGTGGGCTGAAGAAGTTAGATGTTTAACTGGAAACTATGGTTGAATAGTTTGAAAAACGAACATCTATTTTGGAACACTAATTTTTGTACAGCAGGTTTTATGCATGTAGAAGGTTTAATTGCATGACAGCATTGTCTTGATGGGAAAACCCATTTTATTGACGTTTTCCCACTCACAGAATCTCTGAAAACCCTGGGACTCACTCCTGAGAGGCTAGGGTGACACATCCACAAACCTAGACCACGCAAACCCCACCCTCACTGGAAGGACTTTGCGCGTGGAGGTCGGGGGTGGGGTGGGGTGGGATGCATGGAAGTTGCCTCTGGGTCAAGAAGTAATTCAGCGTTTTTGTGTTCCGGCTGAGAGAGATTTGTAACTGCCGTTCTCCTCGAGCGGGCCGTCTGCGCGCATTGTCCCCTCGGAAGCAGTTCTCCCCGAGCTGAGACTCCGACCCTTCCTGGGAAGCGGTGCGGAGAAGCCTGGACAGACGCCCGAGCCCAGCCAGGGTTCAGAGCCCCGGGCTGGGTGAGCGGCGGCGAGAGCGCGTGCGCACCGGGGCGCGCTCCGGGCGCGCGCCGGGGCCTCCGCACCTGCCCTCCCTCGAACCCGGTGCACCAGCTGAGTTTGGATGGGAATAGGCATTGGAGCGCAACAGAGCCGGGTTCCTGCAAAAATGGGCCAGCGGAGGGCAGAGCATTCTGGGGGCAAGACGGGCACGGCTTCTGGGTCTGCGTCCTGCGCCAAGGCCGCTGCGCAGGGGGGCGAGGCTGAGCTCTGCAGGGTCCCCGCCCAGCCAGGTTTCCACTGGCTGCGGGTCGCGGCGGCCTCGTTGGTCCCCGGCCCTGAGTGCAGGGATCCCTGGGTCCACACCTGGGAGCAGCACAGGGGCCTGAGGAGCATGCCCCCCCCCCAGGCCTGGGCTGGGTCCGAGGAGCTGGGGGCATTTTCATGGGAAACTCCCGGGCTCAGGGCAGGGGGTGTAATGCAGGTACTAAGTGTCCTTTCTAATATGAAAAGTTAAACACAATTTCCTAGGAGGAAAGAGCTGCTGTACACAGGGCCAGTGGAGGGGTGGGTGGGAGCCTGTGGCCCTCTGGGGGGGGGGAAGGAGGAGGTGGACCCCTCTCCTTTTCTCTGTGGCCCCCCAGGGTCTGACAGTGCTGTCTAGGCCTTGGCATCTGACTGAGGGTCCGCATCTTCCTGTGGAAGAGAATGGGGGGCAACGTGGGCACCGTGCACACAGATGAACACCCTCTAGGACCTCCTGCACCTGCCCCTACGGGCCGCTCAGGCTCGGGGCCTCGGGCCTCCTGGGGCCTCCTGCAGGGAGCCCACTCAGGCCTGCGTTTCCCAAAGTCAGCCGTGCCACCCCTGCCAGTGCCCCAGCCGTCGAGCCACCTTTGCTCACAGATGCGAATCAGCTGCTCCTGGCTCTGGCTGTTTCTGGTTGGCCGTCTGCTCTTTGGTATGAGGACTCCCACATGCGCGCTGATCGCAGGGTTTGGAGCAGAGACAATTCAGACAAGTTCCGATGAGTCACATTTGTTCTCACAGTAATTGTCCCCCTGAAACGCTGTTGGAGCTGTCCTCTCCCGGCTGTGCCTGACCTAGATCCTAGAGTTTAGGGCGGCTATTATCCCAGGCTGACATTGAGAAATAATTGGCTGTGACAACATGCATCCTGAAAGCCACTGTGTGACCTTTGAGCTCGCAGGGGGTGAGCCTCAGACAGGTGAGCACTTGGCGAGACCTGCCCTGAGCTCTCCTGCCTCTCCTTCCCACTGCTCCAGAGGCCAACCCAAATGGCCGCCTGGGCACGTCCAAGTTCCTCGGGCTCTCTGCAAATATCCTCCTCCAAGAAACCGAGCCAGAAGTTGTTTGTTTTCCTCCTTCGAACTCCCATGCCTCCTAGGCCCTGGCCACTCTCCTTCTTGATAAATAGACGGAAGCCCCCTCGGGGCAGGGTTTCTGTGCTAATCATCCCTCTGTTCTCGGAGCCTGCCGTGTCCCAGTCCTGGGCCGGACGCTGGGGCCTCAGGGAGTAAACCAGGGCTCTTGCCCTCACAGAGTGGACGCCCTCCCCCAGGGAAGTATTAACTGTGTGATAGATGCAATGGCAGGGAGGAAAGGGATTGTGGGAGCACGTAGTAGGGCCCAGCGTCAGTCTGTGGTTCCCCAGACTTCCTGTAGGAGGGGACTTCTAACCACGAGACCTGGAGGCTGATTAGGAACCAGCCCAGCCCCCTTCAGGCTTTCGGCACATGTCAGCCCCATACATGTGCCGTAGGCGTGGCAGCGCAGATGCCTTTGTGGTTACCCTGATGTCCGAGGGATGAGGCTTCCTTAGGCTTTTCCAGGGCCCCCTCGGAGGCCCGGCCAGTGCCGGGTGCGCAGGTGCAGTCTGGTCGCCTGTGTGCTGGTTGTGGGCGGCTCCTGGATGTGGGACACCCCTGTTCTTAGGCCAGAACTGAGTCCCTAAGGGGAACACAGAAAGTAAACTTCACAATACAGGTGAATGGCATGGGGACCTGAGGTCTCATATTTCAAGGCAAAGACACTGAGGTCAGTAAAGATGACGACAAGTGTCACGGCTAACTTGCTGTCTTCCGACAAGGGGAGGTTAAGTCACTCGGGCAGGGTCACACAGCACAGCGAGCAGGTTAGCGCAGCCTCACTCAGGCCTGGGGCTGCGCAGCTCAGCCCTCCCCTGATGCAGGGGTTGTGGGCTGGCTGCTGTGGACACCTGACCCCCTTGAGGACAAGGGCACAGTGACAGGGGTAGAGCTGGTGTCCAGGGGTGACAATAAACCAGGAACAACGGGTCCTGACTCTCTGGCCCTCTGAGCTGCCTCTCAGGGCAGCCACCCTGCCCCCACGCCCGGAGAACCTCCAGGTCCCCAGAGCCCTGGCTCCTACCACCACGCGCTCTGCAGGCTCTGTGCCCGGCCCGGGTCACCCAGCGCTGGAAAATGCCAGGTGGGGTCACAGACAAGAATAGAACCCACAGGCCAGGCACGTGCTTCCCTGCTGGGCTCTGGTGGGAGTCACGCGCAGGCCCCTTGTGCTGGCCGCTGCTCCCACAGGTGGGTTGTGCCGGGGGCCTGGGGCCCTGCTCCCAGCAGACCCCGAGGTGGGCTTCTACTCACACACACAGACACACGCATTCACACGCTCGCTCGCCTGCACTCTCCCACACACACCCCCACCCCCCCTCAGCTGCTGGTACAGGGGCCCATCAGGTAACCTTGGCTCCACATCACAGTGACCCCCGAGGGGAGGCTTTATTTAGCGCGGGCCTGGCCCAGCGAGGAGGCAGGGACCGCGGCTGTGAGGAAACGGCCCACCTCTCAGAGTCCAGGAGGAGCCTGACTTACATGCCCCCCACTCTCCCTCGCGGATGCACCAACCCTTTATTTTTTTAAATTAATTAACTCAATACACCCAACATATTCTAATATGCGATCAGTATAGACGCTATGAAAGGAGCTCATTTGCCTTCCGCTCCACCCAAAGGTTTGAAGCCTGGCTGGCGTCCGGCGGCCGTGCTTGGAGCCGCCACCGGGCACAGAGCCGGTCTGGTCTCTGACGCCGGAGTTTGAGTGCAGGCTCCTCAAGTGGCAGCCCCTTCTCCTTGCCACGTCTGGGGTCCCCGCGCTCACTCCGCCCGCGACACGTGCTCCCCAGGCATTCTGCTTCCGTGAGTGTCTGGCTGCTCTGTGACACCCGGGGACTCGGCGTGGGTGACCGTGGTCCAGGAGAGTCGGGGTTTAGGCGCCGACACCAGGCTACCGCCGCCTACGCGGCGTCTGCTGCTGCCGCCCTGGTTCTTCCTCTGCCGCCCTGCCCCCCGCCAGCAGTTCGGAACGACTCCGCGCTTCCTCTGGGTGCCCCCGCCCCCTCTTCCTGTCTCACTACGAAGGATGAACCCTGGGCAGCCACCGCTGGAGCAGACCACGAAACGGTGGCTCTTCAGAGCTGACTCCTGGTCCGGTCCGACGCAGTGGCACTCGGACACTGGAGCCCACAGACCCCGGTTCTGGCATCGCATGGCCGGGGGTCGCCGTGGGGGGCGTGGGGACACGGGGACGCGGGACAGGACCCCGGCTGGGGCCCTCTGACCGGCCTCCGTCCTCTCCCCGCAGAGGGAGTGCATATCCGTGCACGTGGGCCAGGCGGGGGTGCAGATCGGCAACGCCTGCTGGGAGCTCTTCTGCCTGGAGCACGGCATCCAGGCCGACGGCACCTTCGGGGCCCGGGCCGGCAAGAGCGGGGACGACGACTCATTCACCACCTTCTTCAGCGAGACCAGCAACGGGAAGCATGTGCCGCGGGCTGTCATGGTCGACCTGGAGCCCACGGTAGTGGGTGAGTGTGGCCCGCCCCTCCCCCGGGAAGCGGCGGGGGACTGGGAGGGAGCTCGGACTGGAAGTGGGGGTGGCTCAGCCGAGCCCTCGCCAGCCCCTGGGATTCCCCGTGGTCTGGGGCAGCGCCCAGCACAGCTCCAAACCGCAAACAAAACGCCCTTGACGGGAACCTGCACAGACCGATGAGATGGTCAAGATAGCTTTCAACATGCTGAGGGTGAAATACAAATGAAGCCCCCAAATAGCGTCTCAGAGCACAGATCCCCAACTCGGTGATAACTGCCCCCTGTTCCCGTGGGTCTGGTAGGACCCTGCAGGGCCTGGCACACGGCGTGCAGTAACTTCCAGCCAGAGGTGGCTGTCGTCCCAGCACAAGCCTCCTGGATCTCAGGAGACAGGAATTAGCTCGCCCCCTGAGCTCCACCCCCAGACCCCTTCCCTGGGCCTGAGCCCTGGGTCTGCCCTCATCTCTGAGGCTCAACAGGCAAGGGGTGCGTAAGCGTCGCAGAGGCATCGGGGTGAGAGTCCCAGGACACTCCAGGGACTCTGGCTCTCAGGGACTTTGTCCAAATACGAAAAGTGCAGTTTACCCGGCCAGGCCGCCGTGCAAATGGGCGCTCCTTCAGGGATGGGAGACCCCTGAAGGGAAGGGGGTGGTGTAGCTGGGGCCGGGGTGTCTGGTCTACCATGGGCCCATGTCGTGTGGACACTTAGAGGGGAGGGGCACCCCCCAACCCCCACAGCCTCCCGGGCTCCTGCTTCTCCAGGATGTGCCACTTGGCTCTGCCTCCCGGTCACTCCACCTCCAAGGCCTGACATGCAGTCACCATCTTGAGTGGAGGTGGGTGGGGGGTGTGATTTCTGGGGGAGCCTAGGACCTGGGCAGGTCACCCTGAATCTTTCTCTGTGTCCCTAGCACATTCCAATGCAAGTGAAAGCAGGTTAACTTTGGGGGAACTTTGCCCCATGAAAGAAAAAGTGAGAGGGAAGCCTGGAGAGGTGAAGGCAGCAGGAAGGAGTGGCCGTCGGCCTGAGTGTTCAGCGAGCTCTGTGACCCCGAGACTGTGTGAGGTGCCAGCCGGGGGAGCACCTGCTTCTCCTCACCTGCCTGAGGCCCTGGCTTCCGGCTCGTGGAGTGCCTGCGTCACCCTGGAATTGTCTCAGCCGTCTGTTACAGGGCTGTCGGGCTTCGCCGTGGTAGAGTTTGACCAGCGGGGGCTGTGGAGACCTGGAAGGGTGCTACACAGTATTCTCACAGGAAAGGGGACCCAATGGTCCCCCTCTCTCGGTAGATGAGGTTCGGGCGGGCACCTACCGCCAGCTCTTCCACCCGGAGCAGCTGATCACGGGGAAGGAGGATGCTGCCAACAACTACGCGCGCGGCCACTACACGGTGGGCAAGGAGAGCATCGACCTGCTCCTGGACCGCATCAGGAAGCTGGTAAGTGCGAGCGGGGGCGGCACTCGGTGCATCAGGCCCGAGTGGGCTGGCTCAGACTCACGCCTGTCCGAGCAGAGGGGGTGGAGGCTCACGGCCTCAGATTTGGGAGTTTCTCCTTACGCTCTGTGAGGAGCGTCTGCAGCGAGGGAGCCCTTTCCTCCACCCGGACATCACGGGCGACCCTACAGGCTGAAGCCCTATTAATACTTACGGACCCTCTGTGGCAGTGTCAGGGGGACGTCCCAGACATAAAGGAGGCGGAGCTCTCGGCTCGTTGGAGGCTAACAAAGCATTGAACTTGCAAGAGAAGAGGAAGTGATTGTGGATACATTTCAGCACTCACAAATGCCATTATGAGTGTCAATTATATTCCTTAGTTTAATCCCCTTAATAATGGTAGGAAGGAGGTCACTTCCCTGTACTTTACAGGTAAAGAAACTGTACTTTACAGGTGAAGAGGGCCAAGGTAGTTCAATAACTTAGCCCAGGCTCCACAGCTAGAAACGGGCAGATGTAGGATTTAAGCCCGTTGGTTTGACTCAAAGTTGTAGGTGTAGAGTGGCCACTGTCTACTGGAACCCCCATCTCCTTATCTGTCCAAAGAAGAAGGTGGGACTTAATCAGCGGTTCTTCCCTGGGAGCTAAGGATGCCACATTTCTTATATGATCACTTTTTCAGTTTAGAGAAGGGGTCACAGTAGTCATCAGTCTCAAAGCTGTCTGATCCCACGAAGTTCAAAGCCACTGGGTCAGGTGACCATAGACCACACCTGGTGGTGAGGTTCTGAGACTCCAGGAACCCAATTCGTTCTGACAGGAGCCCACCTGGAGTGCTCACCGCAGGTCACGTCCTTGCTCAGCGTATTGTGCCGCCTCCTCAATTATCACAGTCACCTTGTGAGATGAGTGTGTTGTGCTGACCCACTTTAACCGCGAAGCAGCAGAAGTCTGGAGAGATTCAATAACTTGCTCAAGTTTTTACAACTGGGAAATGGCAAATTGATATTAAAACTCAGGTTTTCTGACTCCATTACTATTTCTGAAACCAGTTCCCTGCTCCACCTTCCAAGGTCGGGCTCCGACGTGCAGGCCGGCAGTTTCCACAGAATCGAGTGAGGAAGGCGGGGGAGGGGCCGGGAGTTGGGGGCTCTCCAAGGACATCGGCACTGACCCCTGTGGTCCTGGAGCTCTCACTCCTGGTTCAACAAAGCCGCTGGATGGGAACCTTCACGTACCTACAGGCTTGTGTGTGTGTGTGTGTGTACGTGTGCGTGTGTGTGTGTGTGTGTGTGCACACGCGCGCAGTGTGCCGCCCCAAATTTTCACTAGGCCTCCTAAGGTCAGCCCCCTCCTGAAAACAGCATTTCCTTCAAGGCTGTTTTGGTTTCACGCCCACAAAACCGTGGAGGGTTAGCGTGGGGCGGACAGAAGGGCTGTCTGCCGTTGTCCACCCGAGGGTGCTCCCAGAGGCTTGTCTTCACCGCTGTTTTCCTCTCTCTCTCCCCCAAGACAGACGCCTGCTCCGGCTTGCAGGGCTTCCTGATCTTCCACAGTTTCGGCGGCGGCACTGGCTCCGGCTTCACGTCTCTGCTGATGGAGCGCCTGTCCCTGGATTATGGCAAGAAGTCCAAGCTGGAGTTTGCCATCTACCCGGCCCCGCAGGTCTCCACGGCAGTGGTGGAGCCCTACAACTCCATCCTCACCACCCACACCACCCTGGAGCACTCCGACTGCGCCTTCATGGTCGACAACGAGGCCATCTACGACATCTGCCGCCGCAACCTGGACATCGAGCGCCCCACCTACACCAACCTCAACCGACTCATCAGCCAGATCGTCTCCTCCATCACGGCCTCTCTGCGCTTCGACGGGGCCCTCAACGTGGACCTGACCGAGTTCCAGACCAACCTGGTGCCCTACCCCCGCATCCACTTCCCGCTGGTCACCTACGCGCCCATCGTCTCCGCCGAGAAGGCCTACCACGAGCAGCTGTCCGTGGCGGAGATCACCAGCTCCTGCTTCGAGCCCAACAGCCAGATGGTGAAGTGCGACCCCCGGCACGGCAAGTACATGGCCTGCTGCATGCTCTACCGCGGGGACGTGGTGCCCAAGGACGTGAATGTTGCCATTGCCGCCATCAAGACCAAGAGGACCATCCAGTTTGTGGACTGGTGTCCCACAGGCTTCAAGGTGAGAGCTGCTGCGTGAGGGAGGAGACAGGCGGCTGGGAGGCTGAGGGGCGTTCCCGGGGCGGGGTGGGTGGTGCGTGGGCTCCGGCGGCACTTCGGGCATCATGGGCCGCTGCTGCGGGAAGAGGGGCTTAGCCCGAGGGTAACGTTCATTTTACTCCTTCGTTCCTTCCTTCCTTCGCTCACTCGCTTATCATTTCGTTTACTTCGGGCAAAGGAGAGACGTCCTGGGAAGGACTGTTGAAAGCAGGCAGGGGCACGGCAGTGGCGAGGGGGGCGGGGGGTCCTGCCCTGAGACCTGCAAGTGCCTCGAAGGGGCCGAGTGGGCAGGCTGGAAAGAACCAGTGAGGGCAGGGGGGTGCAGAGGAGGAAGGGGTGCAGGTCGTCGTGATCTGACCACAGATTGGCACATGGAGTGAGGCCAATTGTTCGGGTTGCCAGAGAGGTGTAATTCCCTCCTCTTAACAAAAGATCTGTGCGTGTCCTGCTTTATTGTGAGATTAACCATCTGTGGGGGGATTCGGACGGTCCAGGGAAGACCCCCGGGTCTCAGGGCCAGGTGGACTTTGGGTGTTGGTGAAGCGGCCCCTCTGAGCTCCACGGCAGGGTGAGCGGCCAGCTCCACGCACGAGAACTGGGTCGTCACTCTGCGCCGTGTTCCACGGCCTTTAATTGGACTCCACATCAGGACGGGCACTGCCGTCTCCACTGACTGGGGCCGCGCAGGAGGCAGAGCTGAATTATTCAGAGGGTTACCGAGTGCCAGGCTGTAGGCAGCCATGCACGTGACGCGGTTTTCCCCTGGTGGGACTTCCTCGTGTGCCCGCCTCTCTCTGACCCGGCCGACCTTCGGGCAAGGGCGTGTGGCTGTCCTCCTCCCCGTGTGGCCCCTCGTGACACAGGTAATCTTTCTTTCTAGATTGCCTGTTGTATGAGTCAGTCTTGATCTTTATTGTGAAACAGCCAAGATCTTAAAAAAAAAAATGCAGTCCTTTTTTCTCTTTCAAATGGAAACAAACAGCAAAACATGCTGATAGGAAAAAGGGTAAGGAAAGAGTAGAAAAAGCGGAGGACGGAGGGCGGTGGGGAAACGTCTCTCTGCTCTCTCAAGTGGGAGCTCCGGGGTCACTTCCCGGAGGAGGAGCCGAGCCAGCACCTGGACCTGCTTCTCAGGGAGCGTGCTGCGGGAGCTGGTTCTCGGGACGTCCTCCTCTCTCCTGTCCCAAGGGTGCTCTCTCCCTGGGACTCGCAGGGAGGCTGCTGTTGCACGGCGAGGAGACGGCACGTCTCTGCTGCTCGGGCCTCCCCTCCCCATTTCTAGTCTTTGCTCCGTCTCAGCATCACCCCCATCACCAAGATGCCTCTTCAGCCCCAGAGGAACTGTTGACCTTGGTGAACCCATTTACTGCCTTGGCTGTGGGGCCTGCTGCCGCTCCCCACTCCTCCTCCCAAGAGGACCTGCGTTTCAAAGCTGAGAACTGAAGGGTGGCTTGGGTAGAAGAGGTGTCTTTTGGATGGCACCAAGGATCTCAGCGTCCCATAAGTGGGATCCCAGTTTGTCATCTTAGATTTCCTCCAGGTTCCTCCAGTTGCCAGGGCTGGCTTTGGTTGGACATGTGTGTGAGGGAAAGGGAGGTTTCTCGTGTAACAGCCCCACCGTCAGCCAGGGCTGGACTCGGCGGCTGGACCCTGCCCAGCCGCCAGTGCGGGGGTTGCAGCTGCCTTCCTTTGCTTGGCATCCTTGCTTTTCTTCCAAGAAGTCCCGCTCCCCAGAGACACGAGGCTGGTTAACACTGACCCCATCGCCGTGGCCCTTTGGACCTTTTTATTTATGGCTCTGGACTCTCTCCATGACCTTGTAAACAGCTCTTCACCCTTCGCAGAGAAACTTCCCTAAATTTATTGACAACAGAGCTCGGGGGAGCTTCAGATGACCGCCGAGGAAGAACACACTTCATAGTAACCTCAAGTCCAGAAATAAATTCGCCTCTCCAAGGGCACCTGCTTTCCTTTCGGGGATGAACACATGTCACTCACCTCCCCCTCGTAGCAGCCCCGGCAGTGCGCTGGTGTCCACTAGACTCTCCTCCCCACAAGCGTCTCTGCGCCCAGCCCTGTGCTGCTTGTGCTCCCCGTCCTTAGGTGCCCCAGTCCTTCCTCCTGCACTGGCTGTGCCCACCCCCCTTTACAGCCTCCTCAGCACTCACCTCTCTCCACCTGCCTGCGCCCCGGCCTCCTGCTCCCCTCGTCCCACCCCAGCCCCCAGCCCCACCCCCTGGCCTGTGCCCACACCACGTCCAGAAGGTGCCTCAGGGGCATCATCCTTCGGCCACCCTGCGCCTGCCTGGGTTGCCCATCTTTCTCTCTCCCCAGGTGGGCATCAACTACCAGCCTCCGACTGTGGTGCCCGGAGGGGACCTGGCCAGAGTGCAGCGGGCCGTGTGCATGCTGAGCAACACCACGGCGATCGCAGAGGCCTGGGCCCGCCTGGACCACAAGTTCGACCTCATGTACGCCAAGCGGGCCTTTGTCCACTGGTACGTGGGAGAGGGCATGGAAGAAGGAGAGTTCTCCGAGGCCCGGGAGGATCTGGCGGCCCTGGAGAAGGATTATGAAGAAGTGGGGACAGATTCGTTTGAAGAAGAAAATGAAGGGGAGGAATTTTAAATACACAGGTTCCTCTTGGCTGAGTCTCTTTGTCTTTGCTGCTGCGTTCCGAGCACCTGTAGCTGTCACAGGTGACGCTCCCAGCTGCAGCCAGATCCCGGTCTGACCCCCGTCCCTGCAGGTGGCTGGGCTGAAACGGGCGCTGTGCTCTGTCCGACCCCCCTTGGGCAGGAGCAGCTCTGTGTCAATAAAGAAAACGGGAGTCACCATCTCTGGGTTAAGGTGATGCCAAGGTACACGTGCGGAGGCCCGACCAGGGTTTTTAACTCTGGGTTAGGCTGTGCCCACCCCGAAACACAGCCTGCTGGCCAGGCAAAGGTAAGACCCAGGGAAGGGGAGGATCTGGGCCTCGGGAAGGTCCTGGAACAGACACCTCTCCTGCCCCGTACACACAGCAAGACCCACGCGAGACAACTTCAGGCGGTGTCAAGTGATGTGAGGTGAACAAGCAGTGGTGAGAAGAAGTGCTGGGTTGTCAGGGAAGGCCTCGTGGGGACCCCAGTGCAGGAAAGAGCCATTCTGGGAAGCTTTGGAACCGGGGGTGCTGGGCATGGGGCAAAAACACAGGTGCGGGGACAAGCGTGGAGTGTCTGAGGAGCAGAGGGGGCGCCTGTGGGTGGAGGGTGGTGGAGAGGGAGCCGCAGCAGCCAGGCAGGGTCCAAGCAAACTCGGCCTCCCAGACCACCCAGAGGAGTTTAGGCTTTTCTCTCAGCAGACACAGAGGCACTGGAAGGTTTGGAGCAGGAAGTGACTACGTATACACACAGACCTCATCGCTAATCCCCACACCCACCCCCCGCCCCGGCCGTCTGAACACGGGTGTTCTCACTACGAGCAAAGAGCCTGAGGTGCGGAGAGTTTGTGTTGGAGACAGTAAGAGGGGTGCCCAGGGGCCGCCGGCCTGGTTTCGAGTCTGCCCTGCACCGTGTCTGTCGGCAGTGGTTGGCCGAGCGCCCGACTGCTGCCTGGGGAAGGGGCGGGTGGGGGCGGGGAGAACCCGTGTGCCACTGAAGAAGCACAGGGCACGTCGTGAGTGCGCTCTGCCCGAAGCTGGCAGCTCTGGTAGGGTTTCAGGAGATGTCGAGACTGCTGTGGGCCCCTGTCTGTCAAACGTGCCGGTGCACTCATTAGTACTTGGCTGTGCCCAGACGCTTCTGTTAGAATATTCTTTGGAAGTAGCACGAAATGGCGGACTACACTGATCTTTGAATATTGAACACGACTTTGATCCCTGGAGTAAAACCATACGTGGTCAGGGCATAGAGCTCTTCTGCATTGCTGAGTTCTATTTGCTAATATTTTGTGGAGAATTTTGCATCTGAATTCAGGAGGGATGTTGGTGCGCAGTTTTCTCTTTTGTGTGCTGTGTCTGATTTCGGTACCCAGGCAATGCTCTCCTAAGATGAGGTGGGAAGTGGCCTCTCATTTCCCGGAAGTGTACATCACAGATTAATATTAACTCTTAAAACATTTGGCAGAGTTCTACTGGACCTGGAGATTTCATTTTTGGGAGTTTTAAAAATTAATAGTTAAGCCCTGGCTGGTGTGACTCAATGGATTGAGTGCCGGACTGCGAACTGAAGAGTCGCTGGTTCAATTCCTAGTCGGGGAACAGGCCTGGGTTGTGGGTCAGGTTCCCAGTAGGGGGCCTGTGAGAGGCGACCACACATTGATGTTTCTCTCCCTCTCTTTCTCCCTCCCTTCCCCTCTCTCTAAAAATAAATGAAATCTTTAAAAAAATAATAGTTCAATTTCTTTACAAATTAGAGCATTATGCAAATAATCTGTTTTCTGTTGGTGAGTTGCAGTAGTTTGTGCCATTGAAGGAATTGGTCGAATTGGAGTAAATTGTCAAAGTTATATATGCAGTGTGTATAGTATTCCGTTCTTATGATTTGTAGCCACCAGGTCTCTATAGTATCCGTTCAATTCCTGATACTTATTATTTGTATCTTTTTTTTTTTGTCAGTCTTGTTAGAGTTTGGTCAATTTTATGGATCTTTTCAAAGAATAAGCTTTCAATTTCATAGGTTTTTGTTCTTCGTGTATCAGTTTTCAATCTCATCGATTTATACTCTTTATTATTTCCTTCCTTCTGCTTGCTTGATGTTTATTTTGTTCTTTTTTTCCCCTAGTTTCTTATGGGTAGAGTTTAGATCACTGATTTGAGACTTCTTTTCTAACGCAGACACTTACCGCAACAAATTCTTCCTCAGGCCCCGGCTGGGTGGCCTGGTTGGAAAGTCGTCTCGCACACCAGAAGGTTGCGGGTATGATCCCCGGTCAGGGCGCCTGTGGGAGGCAACCAGTCCATGTCTTTCTCCCACATTGATGTCTCTCTCTCTTTTCCCCCAACCCCTTCTTCTCTAAGATCAATAAAACATATCCCTGGGTGAGGATTAAACACTTTTTCTTCCTCAGTGCTGTTTTAACTGTGTTCCACACATTTTTATGTCATGCCAGTGGTCTGAAAAGGACATGTATTCTGCTATTGTCGGAGAAGATGTTCTATAAATATTGATATCAACATGCAATTGACTCAATAGTGTGTATAAGCCACGGTCAGACCCCATCTAGGAGATGCGAATCCTGTCTCCTTTACTTGCTGCAAGTAAATAAAACTACCTTACGACAACCACATCTTGAGCCTGAATAGAGCACCGCAGGCAGCGAGCCCTGGAGTCCAGTAACAACTTGGCAGGCTGTGCCCCCTCCCCCTGTGGATGTTCCCTGTACCCCATGTGGTTCTGACATCCACGCTGGGCAGCCTGCCTGGGCGGATGCCCTCCTCATCCTGCTTGGGCTCTGACACTCTGTGTGCTGGGCTGTCCCCCCACCATGTGTGGACACCCTTCTCCCCTGCTTAGAGGCCCACACGCTTCCTCAGACAGTTCTATCTCGTGGATGCAATTCCTCTCCTGCCCCGGGCCACCGCGGAACCCTACTGTGTGCGTGCCTCCTGTGCTCCACCCACCTGGTGGCTTTAGCACAGAATTGCTTGGGAAGGGAAGAGAAAGAGCCCTCACAATAACCGTTATGGATCTCACATCCTGTGTCCAGCCTCTAGCCCCAAGCTCGGCTCTTGTCCACTCCACGGACGCAGCAACACCAGTTACTTTGTTCCACCGTGTCACCGAGATTCAGGTAGAAAGAATTAGTCGACTAGAAACAGCTCTCTGCTAAGAATCCCTGGAAGCAAATAGAGCTTACTCCCTAACGTTCTACTGACTTAAAATATTTAGCAAACTGCACTACACTTTGCAATATCCTTCCCCAATATCCTTCACCCATGAGGACTTACGAGGTTCCTGTTCACTGGCAAGACTTAGCACGTCTCTGGTTTTGGCCGCACAACTGACAGTCAGCAGATGTGCTGTGTGACACCAGGCTGTCTGCCCAAAACCCAAGTGCCAGCGAGACCACGCTGTGCTGTGTGCCTCACTGCTTCCTGCTCACACTGCGAGGCACCAGGAGCCTCAGCACAGGTGAGAGGGTGAACGTGTTCACGCACGTGGACGTAGGCATATACACCGCATGTGCCCACCCACACATACTGTGTACACATGTACAGTATCTTCCTGCCGTGACACCTCACTGCAGACCCGACTCAAGGAGGCCTGGATTCCTGGAACCTCCCACCCTCACCGCTGCCGGTGGACGGCTCTCACAAAGGACGGGCCCTTGTGGGCAGATTGCATCCCGCATCCCTGCCCAACAGCCGGCACCTGAGCCCCTGGCAGGTGGCCCTTCTGCCCCTACCCACAGAAGTGTACACACATGACATAAAGGGGCAACAAGCCATTCATGTGTGTATGTGACAGGTCCTTTAACCTTATGTATCTGCATGCCCAGCAGGTTCTCAATTTCACTGAGCCTGTATTTTACACACTTGGGGCTGGTTAAGACCCAAGGTTCTCAGGTCAGACCCTTTTGAAATCCTGGCTCCCCTCTTGTAATTTTCTGACCTTGGGCAGGTCATTTAACCTCTTTGAGGTTCAATATTCTCATCCTTAAAATTGGGGTAAAAAATAGGTTTTCCACCCAGAGGCTGTAGTCTAGATCAAATTAGGTTTAGAGTTTAGTAGAGAGACTGGCATTTCTCAGGGACACAGCAGATGTTAGAGGTTGTGAGCCTTGGGAAAGAAGAAATCTACTAAGAAGCACTCCTAGTAGCTCAGTGAGCTAAAATTCTTAAAAACAGCTCAGCAGCAGTTCCTGCACAGGAGCCTCTCACACAAACTGCATTTCAGGGAAAAACCTGTACTGTGCTCTTGCCAGCCTCATAAAGGTTCCCTGGAATCCTATTTCAACCAATAGGACTAAGGCTTTCTCCCTCCAATCATCGATACCGCTCTGACCAACCAGAGTGGCTCTGTTCTGACCAATCAGGGCAGTGCTCTTGAACCAATCAAACTTCCAGGATTGGAGTCTTTATTTGCATGAGGGCAGATCAATCAGGGGCCAGGGGAAGGGACTTCTGTCAATATAAGCCACCTCCTCCTATTTTTTTCTTTTTTAAATATTTTATTTATTTATTTCTGTAGAGAGGGGAAGGAAGGGAGAAAAACATCTACGTGTGAGACAAACAGACTTCTTGCCTCTCACAGCCTACAACCCAGGCTGTGCCCTGCCTGAGAACTGAACCAGCCACCTCTCAGTTCACAGGCCAGTGCTCAGTCCACCGAGCCTCAGCTGCTGGGGCTCTGCTCTGGTTTGGGAGGCAACTGCACCTTTCTGCTGAAGGGCGTCTTTCCAGCCTCAGGAAGAGCAGAGTGTGCCCAGGAGAGGAACCTGACCCCATGGCCGCTGGTCCCAGGACCCTTTCCTCCCAGGGCTGCCTCCCAGCTGAGCTGTTGCACAGATGAGCTTTCTGCTCTGAATAGTTTCCTTCTTCCCAGCACCCCAAATTGGGGGTTCCTGTTTGCATTGAAGTAGACCTTGCCTTTAGAATTTCTAATGAGAAATAAATAGTGCACCTTCTTTTCCGGGGTTGCTCTACCCTTTACCCCCTGGACCCTG